GAAGGTTAGTTTTGTTAGCCAATCTATAGTTCGAACAAAATAGCAGAGACATATTTAAGCTGTTTGGGGATACAAACTTTAAAGATATGTTTTCACACTAACTATGTGAACACAGATGCTGATAATTCAAATTAGCTTTACCTGTTCATTAAAGCAAATTCAGTGGAGCTTTGAATTATAAACAATTTGTTAGCAGTGGGTTCCAGTTATGTAGATGTTGTCAAAAGTAATAAAACTTCATTTCTTTGTGAAATTCCACAATTCTGGCTTTTTTTTTTTTACAAATTCAGACTAGCTTTCCCAGCCTGAATCTGAATTAGTGTGAACTTACTGTATTTCTATTATCACAATAATGTGTTGACTATTTTTTTCTGTTACACATTTATGTTGGGAAATTTATTCTTTTTGTGTTTAAAACCCTCTGGTCTGACAGTTGTATTCCATTCACAACCTAAAATATTTACTTATAAAACTCAAATATTTGAAAGCTTACTCAAGACTTATCTTCTATAGATTTCAAACCAGTCTTGATTTAGAGGAATTTTGTAGCCAAATAGATAAGCAAATGAACAAATGAAAATTAGTTATTAGAATAAAAATTATTCCTGAGTCTGATATCATTAAGATATCTGAAAGAGAATTTAATTCATTAACAGACAAACTGAAGTGATTTTGAACTTGCATTAAAATGTAATTGGCATATGATAAAACTCATATCTATTCTTGAAAACTACTGTAAATGCTAGGGAGATTTTTTTTAAGTTACAGAAAAAGTAAAAGTGGCCACTGTCTCCAAAGGTGAGTCAATAACTATGTTAAGTTTAAACGTTTGTTCAAAATTCGTTCTTTTAGAAACATGAATGAAAAACTGTCAACTTTATATTACAGAAACCATGAGTGCTTACATGTACAGACAGAGTTAATGAGGGAATCAAACCATCATAGATATCCAAAAAAATTTTTTGGGGGAAAAAGAAAATTTACCTTAGTTGTTGATACACCTGGTAAGTCTATCTGTATTGGTAGTAGGCCAAGAAAATTATATGATGTTAATGATCTTAACAGACAAAGGATCCCAAACAAGTTAGAATAAAAAATTCTTCTGAAATTAAACAATAACCAGAATGAAAGAATTATACAGGGAAAATTTTTTGCTATTTATTGTGTAATCCCAGCTGCAAAGCTGGAGCAAGAAGCTGACCTCCCTCTAGGGGCCACATAAGAGCTGAAAGTAGGTACTGGGTCATGCATACTTATAGTGTACTTGCCTGGGGAATACAGAGAGGTGGTTGTTATTAAATTACCAAAACTCACTTTCTTGTTGTTCAGTAGTTTTCAATCATGTCCAATTCTTTGTAACTCCATTTGGGGTTTTCTTGGCAAAGATACTAGAGTGGTTTGCCATTTTCTTTTCCGGATCATTTTATAGATGAGGAAACTGAGACAAATAGGCTGAAGTGACTTTCCCCGGGGGAAAGCTAGTAAATGTCTGAGGCTAGATTTAAACTCAGGTCTTCCTGACTCCAGGCCTGACATTTTATTGTGCCACCTAGCTGCCCTATAAACTCACCTTACACCTACAGTTTGGGGAACCGTGCCTCCTTTATTAATCTCAGTACACTGAAGGGAAAGGGCATCTCACCTGATTCTGTGAAGGTCATAAACTCAGGTGAAGTTTCAGTTATACCATGGAAAGAATCAGTGACTTACCTTCTAGCAGAGATCGGAGAATTTTTAGGGAGCCCTAGCCCTGGGTATTCATTACCTTAAGAATAACCTGAAGTTTAGACGTTTAAAATAACCTCATGAGTTTAGAAATGTAATTTTTCCAGAAAGAGAAGGAGAGTTGCTACGTAGTGGTCTTCTTGGAAAAAAAGCAGTGATCCCCTTCAGTCGGAGGAGCCCTGAGGGACTAAAGCCACATCCTAAGGGAGAAGAAAAAGTCCTCCCTTCCCTTTTCCCCCTCCTCCTATTACCATGAACTATTTTAACAGTGCAAATCCAATGACAAAAGGTTTTGCTATCTGATAAGACCAGGAAGGATTGCATGGAATTATATGAGAGAGAAGAATTTCCCTGAAATTTCAGTATATTGGGAGAATGGTGACACCCAAGTTCAGTTTCCTTTTGAAAAGAGTTTAGAAATGACTGTGAGCCCTTGATTTAGTTTACTGTTTTTCTTGATGGGTTTCTGTGTTTTTGGTACTTTTTCACCTTCTGTATTTTCTGTGAGTTAACTAAAGACTATTTCTCTATGATACACTTTATCAGATATATATTTGTTGATTTAAGCACATGTAGCTAGGGTTCCCTACATCTGTGGAAAAATAGACATGAGTGTATTTGGAGTTTTTTTTTCCAGAATAATCTCTAGGAGGAAGGACATATGTTAAAGAAATAATAGAACCAGTTCCTTGTGAGTCCAGAGCCCAGGAAATCCTGTGCCGCAAGTTATATGTCAGAATCCTACCCCTCCCCCTCAAATGCATAGAAGGCAAAAAAAAGGAATGAAGTATTGGAGATAGAGGGACCTCCCATAGTTTGGGGGATCAGGTAGGCCTTACGGAGGAGGCTTCAGATGATCTGAGGTTGAAAGCTGGGAAGAATTTCAACATGTGGCAACATGGAAAGGGTCAGTTCCTAAAAAGATTTGTGGTATAAACAAATGCCCTAAAGCCAGGGAGAACAAAATGAGATCTGGAAAAGCCTAGAATATTTCATTACATTGAAATATATAATGCATGGATTAAGTTAAAAGTAGACCATGGGATGTCTCAAATACCAGAGTAAGGGGTATCTGTCTTATTCTGTAGGTAATGGAGAGACCCTAAAAGATTTATTGACATAATAAGATTTCTGCATTAAGCAGTATGAAATGCAGACTTATGATTTCATGTACAATCCTCTTTCTGTGTTTTGCCATGCTCTTTTTTGGGGGGTGTGTTTAAGTTCAGAATAAAACATGAAATTAAAAATAAAAACAGACACATGTTAAGGGATATAGTGATGCCATGAAAAGAGGGATGAAATTGAAGTCACAGGACCTAAGTTTGAATCTCAGTTGTGTGACCTTGGCAAGAAACTTAACTTGGCTAGGTCTCAGTTCCTCATATTTAAAATGGCGGGGTTGGAGTGGATGATCCTTGGAAAGTCCTTCCATCTCAAAAGCCTAGGATTAGTTTGGCAGCAGAGTGGAAGATTGGATTAAGGAAGGAAGATACTAGAGTCAGAAAGACCTATTAGGAGGCTACTGCAGGTCCAGATATGAAGTCTGAGAGAGGCCAGAAGGAACACACCTCCAAAGGAAGAGATTGATACATAAGAGCCTATTGCAAGGTAGAACAGACAGATTTGGTGGGAGAACCCCCAGGGTCCCAGCTAATATCCAGAATGTCTAGGGTAGATAATGCCATAAGATTTAGAACTGAATGGGAACTTGAGATTATTTTATAACCGAGGAAATTGAGACCCAGAAAAATGAGGTGGCTTCCCCGTGATTACATAAGTAGTAAATAGCAGAGCCAGGGCAGCAAGGTGGCACACTGGATAGAGTGCCAGACATGGGCTCATCTTCCTGAATTCAAATCTGGCCTCAGACACATACTAGCTATGTGACCCTGGGCAAGTCACTTAACACCTTTTGCCTTAGTTTCCTCAGCTGTGGAAGCTGGAGAATGAAATGGCAAGCCACTCCAGTATCTCTGCCAAGAAAACCCCAAGTGGAGTCACAAAGAGTTGGACAGGACTAAATGAGAACAAAAAAGGAGAGCTAGAATTTGAACTGAGGTCCTCTGACTCCAAACCCATGCTCTTAACACTACTAGAGCCTGAAAAGACACCTCTTCCAGGAATTATAGTTTACATTAGGAAAGTGTCCTTGGGGGAATACTGTGGGACTTTGGCCTATTACATAATAGTTAATGTTCTTGCTTCCCTCTTATTTTTTTAAAACTTCCTTTTTGCACTCTGTGTCTAATGGAAATTTTCCCCAGGTTTGTATGTGGAGCTCTAGCCAGGCAAAATGTGTAATATGATTTGCTAGAAACTGTTCAAATGCCAACAAACAGCCAATTTATAAACCTGAGAACCAATATCTAGAAATTCTCTGTTTTCAAGCACCAAGTAGATTAGCCACAATCATAGGTAAGTCCTGGAAAAGAATGAAAAACAGGACCAACCTAATTTCTTTTTTTTTTTCTTTTCTGGTTAGGCAGTGGGGTTAAATGACTTGCTCAGGGTTACACAGCTAGTAAGTGTTATGTGTCTGAGGCCGGATTTGAACTCAGGTCCTCCTGACTCCAGGGCCCGTGCTCTATCCACTGTGCTACCTAGCTGCCCCGACTAAGCTAATTTCTACTACTTAGATATATGACAATGGGCAAGGGAATTCTCACCTCTGGGCCTCAGTTTCCTCATTTTTTGAGGAAATGAACTTGCACAAGATGATCTTTAAGCATCTTTTAAAATTCTAAATCCCATGATCCTTGGAAGGAGGCAGCTAGATGGCACAGTAGATAGTGTGATGGACCTGGAGTCTGCAAGACCTGAGTTCAAATTCAGCCTCAGACACTTATTAGCTGTGTGATCCTGGGAAAGTCACTTCACCTCTCTGTCTGCCTCAGTGTACTCCACTGTAAAACGGGCATAATAATAGCATCTACCTCCCATGGTTGTTATAAGGATAAAATGAGATAATATTTATAGAGTGCTTAACACAGTGCCTAGCGCTTAATACATCCTTGTTCCCTTCTTTGCAGGTAGTTTCATTTTGATTTTCTAGAAAATAATGTTTAGCCTTGTTTTTAATGGCTTGATAAATGATTTACAGCGAGCAATTTGATCATATCCTGGCTACTGCACTTGACCAATTCCCGGAACCTGTGAGCTAGAAACTATTAGTACAGGCATTTCCTCTGCTGTGCCACATTCCTCTCCCTCATCTCCTTTTCTGTAATTTCTTTTTACTTGCTTCTTTTAAAAAAGAAATCACAAATACTCACATTATACAGGAAGCTGACTCTGTGCTCACTCAGCAAACATAGCACACTTGAATCCAGGTTCATGCTAATTCATGTGTCCTAAATGGATGATACAAATGGAAGGATAAAATGATTAATTTAATTATAACTTCTTTATTGAATGGCAATCACAGACTTTATAGCTCAACCAAATGTACCTGATGGGAGGTATACACCTTTTGGATGAATATATTCCATGCCACATTCCAAAGAAACATAGATATATCCGTCAAGGTGAAGTCCTCATCAGCAGTCACTTTTGCTCACTGGACATTTTTCTAATCTGAGAGTTCTCCGTCTGGGGTCCATGGCTTTCCAAGGGTACTGTAGAGAGCTTTCAAGAATTTGTATGGGAAAAAAAACCCCTATCTAACCTTGATCTGAAATTCAGCATTTCCATCAATCACGAATTTTTAAAAGAAACATTATTTTCAAAAGGAGTCTATAGGCTTCATCTAGTTTGCCAAAGGGGTCTATAACATAAAAAGGTTAAGAACACTTCCATACACACATGTGTTTTTGCTACCATAACCGCTGGCATGTTAGGCACTCGCCTACCCAGTCATGATATGGTGGGCATGATGATATGGTGGGCATGATGATATGTATTAAGCTATTGAAAGGAGACTATTATGAAGCTTTCTCAGGTCAGCCATTCTTAGAAATATCATAGGAAATAACTGCTAACCTCCTAGCTGTTTCAATGGTGAATGCACAAAAGGATGAAGAACAGGAATAATATACCCCTTCTTCACTTGGCTTAAGCTAGTCCAGGATTGGTCTCCAACAGGTCACAGATTAAAGATGCCACTGTCACGTTCCCCCAAAGGTTTCCCTTCTCCAGGTCAAACATAGCAATATTTTTGTATGTCGTGATCTCAGCTCCCCTTCCTGTCCTTGCTGACTGCATCTGAATGTGCTCCAGTTCATTAATGTCCTTTCTAGTTGGCAGACCCCAGAATTACTCACGCTCCTCCAGATGTGATATGACCAGAACAGAGTATCTCTCTCATTTCCCTGGTTAATAAATTCTAGCGGTTTCCCAAGTCCTTGAGGGTTAAATATGTAACAAGGGATCAGCCAATTGGAACCTCGTCCTGACGAACATGAACAGAGGACCCTATCTGGTGCAATCCCCCCCATTGAACTTTGTAGAATGTATAAGTATTCTCTGACTGTTTTTCCCCCACTTGCTATGTGGCAAAGAAAAACATTCTGATAAGCTGCTGAGCTGGAACTGAACGAGTGTAAAAAAAAGTCACTAACCAGACAAATTGGTCCTTTTCCTGACTGTTACTAAGGAAATACCTGCTATAAGCCTTTGGATAGGAAGAGAGGTTCTGCCACTGCCAGAGGCCTGTTTGCCTGGGTGTGGCTGTGAATATGTGGTGTCTCTGTTTTTCATCTCCTTGCGCCTGTTATTAGGTGAAGAAATATTAGTGATGGAATGGACTAGGATGCAGTCTTGTGAGCTTCTAAAGATCAAGGGTCCTACTAGGGGTCCAGGAATCAGTTTGCTGGCATTTTAGCCATTTGAGGTATCAGCGCTGCCCGGTGCCCCATTGGCAGTGTGCTGGACTTAGCCCAGCAATGGATGGACTCTGAGATGCCATGACCTGCTGCTGTAAGGGAGTGATTCATCTAGGGGCTATACAGAACTCGGTGGAGTGGATTCTTTGTAGCAGCCATTTTAAGTATGATCACTTTCTCCCAAAGACCTCCTGGTAGAGGTGTGTAATAAGATCAATATCTATGATAATGTACCTTCTTTCCCCACCCACAATATGGGGTAGGCATAGGTTCCTCCTCTTTACTTCTTTGCATAGGAATTAGCTTTCCCCTCTCAGACACTAATTGAGTGAGCCTGGGAAGTCACTTAAGCTCAGTTTCTTCATCTGTAAAATGGGGATAATAATAATAACACTTACATCTTAGGGATGTTTGGAAGACCCAACTAGATATTAATTGTAAAGTGCTTAGCACGGTGCCTGGCACATTGCAAGTGCTATATTAATGTTAGATATTATTGTTGTTATTTTTTAAAGTCCTTCAAAATCTGGTTCCAACCCACCTTTCTAGCCTCATTTTACAGTTCTTTCCACACCCTCTCCACCTAGTGTTCCAGCCCCCTTTTTCCTTGCCTCTGTACAGGTATCAGAAGCCATCACGTCACTAGGTAGAACTAGACCCATCTCTGGAATGTACTTCCCTTGACTTCTGCCTCTTCCAACCACTAGCTTCCTTCAACATCTGCTCAAACGCCATCTCCCGTGGCAGATTTTTCCTGATTTCCCAAGTTGGTGCTTTCCCTCCGTCACCCCCCAAATTACTCTGTATCTATTTGTAGGAACTTTTTTGTGTGCATGTTGTTTTTACTAACAGAATGAAAGCTCTTTGAGGGCAGTGATTGCTTCACTTTGTCTTGTATTTCAAGTGCCTGGTACACAGTCAGATGTGCTTTCTTAGGTTCAGGGTACTCAGGTATGGCACAGTCTCTTCGACGTACAGATCTAGAGAGATGCCTACAGCGGAGATGTCAAACACGCCTTGTGGGTGGCTTGTGGGCCATAACACTCCCTCACGCTGCCGCAACCAGATTTAAATGCAATTGGGAAATACTCAACAACAATATACATCTATCTATCTATCTATCTATCTATCTATCTATCTATCTATCTGTGTGCATACATATATATGTATATATGTGTGTGCATATACATACATATACATACACATATACATACATACATACATACATACATACATATATACATACATATGCAATTTGTGGCTTTCTAAGTCAAGGGATCCTTATACCCTGTTCAGAGCCCTGTCCACTAACCCTGCCCTCCCCCACCATTTCTGTTTCAGCTGGTTCACAGGACTTACCCTGGGTCACAAAGGCAGTGGATGTCAGAGGTGACACTTGAACCCAGGTCTTTCTAGCTCCTGAGCTGGCTTTCTAGGCACTATGCCATGATGCCTCACTACACATTAGGCATTTAATAAATGTTTGTCAATCATTAGGGTAACATTCCTGCTTTTCTAGCTGCCATGTCACATTGTGGACTCATATTGATCTTACAGTCCAGCATTCCATTAAAATCTCTAGATTATTTTCTCATACCATCATTTTAACGACCTGTTTCAGACATATAAACATATAAATACATGTACACACATACATTGCTGTTATTGGTTAATTGTGTCTGACCCTTGACCTCATTTGGGATTTTCTTGGCAACAATACTGGAGTGGTTTGCCATTTCCTTCTACAGCTCATTTTACAGATGAGGAAACTGAGGCAAACAGGGTTAAGTGACTTGTCCAGGGTCACACAGCTAGTAAGTGTCTGAGGCCAGAACTGGGTACACAGACAAATACATAAATACATGCATACAAAAACATGCATATTAACACATAGACATATGCATATACACACATACACATAGATATATGCATATATGTAATACATATACACACAAATATTCCTATACATATACAAATACATGTATACATAATACATGTCCGTAAGAATATATACATACATGAGGCAGCTAGGTGGCTCAGTGGGTAGAGCCTGGCCCTGAAGTCAGGAGGACCTGAGTTCAAATCTGGCCTCAGACCAGACACTTGACACTTACTGGCTGTGTAACCCTGGGCAAATCACATTTTGTGTGTGTATATGTATATATGTATGTGTATATATGTATATTTGTGTGTATGTATATGTACATGTATGTATGTATGTATGTATGTATACAATACTGCCTCAACCCCACAGCCATGATATCAGATAAGTGGGGATTCTGAATCCAATGAGCTCAGTCCTGATCTAGGGCTCTATTACCAGCTCACTCTATCACAGTGGCCAAGTCACACCCTGCACACAAAGTTTTTCGCTTGTTTATTTCTTAAGTTGCCACAGAAAAAGAATTCAGCAGCAAATGGCCAGCCTACTGCAGGGACCATTTCCATAGCCTTTCCAGCCTTTCTTGGTATAAGCAGGTGTGTGCTAGAGCCAGCTGGTACAGAATTGCAAGGATCCATTGTTAAATTTTCAGCATGAGCCTTTACACCTTGGAAATTAGCAAAGGCTATAAATTAGGGCTTGACTTACTGTGTTGATAATTTTTTTCTAGAATTAAGAAAGTGATGGAAAAATATTAATGAAGCAGATTAAACTTAAAAATTGTTATAAGTACATCCCCGCCCCCGCACCCCAGAGCTGGCTATTAAACATTTACCAGCACACCACTGGGTATAACCTACCAGGACTTGTTTTCTATTGGCATTGCTTTCAAAAACCCTTAGTTACATCCATGAGGATGAGGAGGAATCATAGCCAAAGAAGCACAAATTTGAAACCTGGAAGGGACATCAGCACCCATCTAAATCAGCCCAGAAGGAGGAGCTCACCACCTCTCCAGAGAAGCCCGTTCCAGTTTGCCCAGTCCTAATTGTTAGGAAGTTTTCCTTGATCTGGAGTCTAAATTTACCTCTTTGAAACACCCACCCATGCTTCTGACTCTGCCCTATGAAGCCAAACAGTGAGGCACAGCATGACTGTTTAGGGTCAGAAGGACAACCCTGGCTCTCTGCTCTCTCTCTTCCGGAAAAGGAGTGACGGAAGAGACAAGGAACAGTCAGTCCTTGCTGCACAGAGACTTCATGGTTTCCCACGCAGGACGTCGTGGCCTATGAGTACTGCTGGGATCAGCCTAGGCTCCAGGAGGAGCCAGGAGGCATTGCCAAAGATGCCCCCTGTGCCCACCAACCAGAAGCTGGAGCTGTCTGCCAGGGCAGCCCTGCTGCTCAGCACGCAGGGCCACCAGGAGCGGAGCGTGCTGACCCTGAACAAACTGATCCTGGCCCCTGGCACACATGAGCCGTTGCTCAAATTCCCCTGAGACATAACCTGCCTCCTGCATCCCGTTTCCCCGTTGGTCTTTGTGCGATCCTGTGTATATTTGCAGGGCTGGGGAGACAAGATTGGATTTTTTTCACTATTAAAGAAACCAAGAAAAACAAAACAAGCAAACAAACGAAAAATAAACTAGGATTCAGGGGGGAAAGCTGTATAATGATGGTGATGTCTTTTGGAAAGTCATGGTCTGCAGCGTGTGTTTTAAGTTAGAGATTTGGCTTGTAGTGAGAAAATGACAATATAAAAGGAAGCATCACAGCGATACCCAAGATAAGAGATGAAAAGAATAAACGTGCAGGGACATGGCTGAATGTGTCAGACACATAGCTCAGCTGGCTTTCCTGCATCAGCTACTGAGAGAGAATAGAAGTAGTTGGCTAGGCCCAGATCAGCTTGAAAGTGGGGCCTGCTGGACAGGCTATGACTGGAAGTCTTGGGGATTCCATGGGGCATTTAATAAGACAGAACAAAATT